CTCCTCATGAGGCACCCACTTATCAAGCTTTTTCACCTTTCCGATTTGCTCAAATGACCATTGATTGAATGGTCCGTGTTGAATTCCCTGGAAACTCCTCCTGCAGCTGTCAACTCCTGATGTCAGCCATTACCAAGTGGAACTCAGTTAGCAGTTCTGGAACCACTGCTCCGTGGACTGTTCCTTAGCCAACCAAATTTCTGTGAATGTCCAGAGTCATCTCTGCTGCTTCGCCACCTATTCTGAACTCAAACCACAAAATTATTGCAATCTGTTTGCCTCTGCCTTCCAAATGCCAGAAGTAAAGGCATGCGCAACCGCAGCCCAGCTTTGAATCTCAAGTTTGTCTAACACAATTTCCATAATATAAAATAAACCACAAGCAAGTCATTAGAAAAAAAGTAGAAAATGCATAGTAAAATGGTATACAGCACAGCCACATTGATCAGCATAGTCCAAGGGCTGGAGGGAAGACTCAGAGGTTAAGAGCATAGTGCTACTGCAGAGGACCTGAGTTCAGTTCCCAGCACTCATGTTAAGGCAGTTTACCACTGCCTGTAACCCTACCTCCTGGGCATCTAAAACCCTCTTCGGACCTCTGTAAGAAAGCACACACACGCACGTACACGTGTACACACACACACTCATACACATAAAAAAATAAAAAATAAACTGCGGCCAGGCGGTGGTGGCGCACGCCTTTAATCCCAGCACTTGGGAGGCAGAGGCAGGCAGATCTCTGTGAGTTCGAGACCAGCCTGGTCTACAAGAGCTACTTCCAGGACAGGCTTCAAAACCACAGAGAAACCCTGTCTCGAAAAAAGCAAATAAATAAATAAATAAAAATAAACTGCGATATTAAGCAAAAACTTTCGGCGATGCAAAAACTGCAATTACTTTTGCACCCACCTGATACATACTGTGGCTTTTGTCAGTCATTCTCAGCTGGTAACGCTCTCAAGGCAGGCCACAAAGACAGATAGACTGCCTCTGATGGAATCAGGTCACAGAAGCTTTCATTGGCCCATACTTTTCTGTCTTGGAACTAACTGGCCACAAAGAAGTCCCGATTTACAGACGCCAGTATAGTCAGCATTCGTCAGGATGCACTGCTGTGTGTGTCTGGGCGCATGCACATGTGGAGGCTGGCGGAGAACTGTGGTACTGTACTCTCTCTCTCTCTACCTCATTTCTATTTTTACTGAGTTCCTGTGCATCGGGTGCATACAGAGACTGTAGAGTTCCATCCAGATGCCTGGGATCTACCTTGTGGGTGCTGGTCCTCTGTAAGAGCCGTCAGTGCTCTTAACCACTGAGCTCACCCTGGTTGGTACTTTTATTTGTCTGAGGTTGTTTCTCAGTTCATGCTCATCACAGAAAACAGTAATTCTAAAGACAGAAAGCAGAAACTTTGCTATTTGAGCTGTTGTCTTTCTCTGCAGGTGACTGGCTCACAATCACACACACATTGGCCTAGAGGATTTTTTATGCACTACCTGGATACATTAAGTATAGGAAAGAAAAGACAGCTTCAACAGGGTGGAGGCACTCCTGCATATGGGCTGAGTTCTCCCCAAAACAGGCCCAATGCTCAAAAGTACCACTCTGAAGCTAATATAACAGATGCCCTTCCTAGGAGGCTGGATATTTGCCCTGCACAACAAGTTCTAATAGGAACTTATGCTGATAGGTGCAGGAAGAGCTGCAAGCCCCTCTCCCCATGCAACAACCCTGGCCTACTGTACCTCTCTATTCCCGTGTCTTTAACAGAGTACTAAGTGTGTAACTTCCTTTCTTGACATTGCTACTTCTGCAACCCATGACCTCACGCACAGTGTTGCATCTAAATGGGTTTAGAGCAGGCTTGTTTTCTTCACGTCATAGGACTGTAGGAAAGCTTCTGTCCACCTGTATGCTTTAAATAGGTAACACCCACCACAAGGGCATATAACCAAACTCGAGGATGCTTGAGCGGGGCTGGAGAAATGGTTAGGTGTGTAAGAGCACTTGCTATGCAAGCACAAGGTCCCGATTCAGATCCCAGCATCTACATAACAAGTGGGGTGTGGGCTATGAAGGCCTGTAGTTCTATAATATAGCAGTGATGGGGACACAGAAAGATCACTGGGGCTCGCTGGCTGCCATACTAGCAGAAGACATCAGCTCGAGGTTCAGGGAAATAAGATGGAGAAGCACAGAAAAGGCCATCACAGCCCCCTTCTGACTGCTGTGTACACCTACAAACGCACACGCGGGTTTGGTCAGCAGCCTACCTTCCCCAGAAAGTAGTACACAGAGAGGCAGAGGGAGAATAGGTTAGTATGAGACCAGCCTGGGATTGTGACTCAAAAAACTAAAGAAGGGTCTGAGGTAAGTTGGCATAGTGCTTGCCTAGCATGCACAGGGCCTGGCTGTGAACCCCAGTACCCTAAAATCCAAGCATGGTGGTACATTCCTCTAACTTTGATGTGCAAGTAATCATCATTAGCTACACAGCAAACTGGAGACCCTGTCTAAAAGACGCTAACAATCCGTAAAGGTATGAATGGCTTTGTTTTCTTTCTGTAATGTCAGGAATGTAACCAGAGCTTTGCCAAACTCTACCATTAAGCAACCTCCCAACCCAGCTAATCCCATGTACCATCCCCACTAGCACCTGACTCAAACTCTTCTTGTTGTCAAGATGCCCCTTGACCAGAGCAGGACGGCCCTGCCCATCTGAATAAGCTCACATCGCCACGGCTGTGATGTAATCAGTTGGAGTAACTGGTCTAGCCAGCTGCGGTAGTCTACAGCCACAGGCACGATAGAGAAGCCGGCGGGGACTTCAGGGCATGGCAGAAAAGGAGTGGACAGCTCTCTGCAGAGCTAAGGATGCTCAGGCAAGCTCTGCAGGAACCTCACTGACCAGGGCCTTCTGTCTGTGCACACAGCCACTTTCCTTAGAGAAAATTCTCACTAGGTACACTGTGCACATGACCACACCCCACACTCATCAGGGACAGTTCTCCCCATTGCATAGAGCCAAGAGCATGCTGGAACATGATCAGCGGGAGAGTTCCCAAACTGCTGTCAAGGGAGAAGAAATGGAGGTTAGTAACAGAGAAACTGAATACAGGAAGGGGAAACCGGGCAAGTGGAAGGTGGATGGGGGTCATGGCACAGAGATCCTTCCCGGGATGCTGCAAGAGCAGAATGCTGACTGGGGAAGCACAGGACAGGTCAGGGCAGGATTTCTGCAAGTCTGGAAAAGGGTGCAGCGGGGTACACTGGAGGGGGATGGAAGATGCTGACTGCTATGCTAGCGACAGAATATCCGCCAGGGTGTCTGTGGATGAGGTCACGGGCCTCCAGGCCAGGAGGGAACATGTTGTAATTGCTACCATACAGACAGTCCATTGATCCGTGCAGTCAGGAGGTAATGCATCAAGCCCATGGTCTCCAAAAGAAAGAAAAAGGCAGTATTAAAAATAGCTGTTAAGCCTGGTGGTGATTCACACCTTTAACCCCAGCACTCAGGAGACAGAGGCAGGCTTTTTTCTGATTTGAGGACAGCCTGGTCTACAGAGTGAGTGAGTGAGTTCCAGGACAGCCAGGGCTACACAGAAAAACCCTCTATCCAAAAACAAAAACAAACAAACAAACAGAAAACAAAAACAAAAGTTAATACCCGGACAGTGGTGACTCTTACCTTTAATCCTAGTATTTGGGAGGCAAGGGCAAGAGGATCTCTGTGAATTCAAGGCCAGCCTGATCTACAGAGAGACTTTCAGGACAGCCAGAGCTACACAGAGAAACCTTGTTTTGAAAATAAACAATAAATGAACAGACAAATAAATAAATCAAGATGGGCATGGCGGTCCTCACCTGTAATCCTAGCACTTGGGAGGCTAAGGTAGAAGGATTGTTGAGCTTAAGACTAGCCTAGGCTGCACTGAGAAACCATGTCTCTAACAAGACAAAATAAAGGAAAAATAACAATAAATCAAACAAAAAACATTAGTTAAAAATTTATATGCTAGTCTGAGGCAAGAAGATTGCCACAAGTTCAAGGCTACCCTGTCTCAAGGGAAGAGAGAAGCTAAAATAAGGTAAACATACATACATTTGAATATGAAAATTTGTTTTAATTTGTATAAATAAGACAAAGTGTTCTACTTAAATAAAAATTCATCTGGGTCTTCCTGTATAATACAGAATTCTTCCATGGGAGTCTTCTGATTCGCAGGCCAGCAACTCTGCTCACATGTGTAAACGAGAATTGTTCCAAACTCCACAGCAAGACCTGAAAAATACCACATGCTCTAGATTCCAACAAAGAGAAAGTTAAAAGGTACATTCATGACGAGGTGAACACAGGTTACCATCCTTGGCTAAACAAACAGTCAGATCAAGCCATCCAGGGCTACACCTTACCCCTGCCTCAGAAAATAAAAACAAAAGTCAGTTTTACTGGTAACTGCTCATAAATAAACTTTACTTTAAAACAAAACCAAAAAACCCACAACATGTCTCGGTAGGTAAAAGCTCGTGCTGCTCAAGTCAGTGATCTGAGTTTAGATCCCCAGAACCCTTGCAAAGCCAAGACAAGCCGGGCAGTGGTGGCAAACACCTTTAATCCCAGCACTTGGGAGGCAGGTGGATCTCTGTGAGTTCGAGGCCAGCCTGGTCTACAAACTGAGTTCTAGGGCAGCCATTGCTACACAGAGAAACCCTGTCTTGAAAGACACCGCCCACTATCCCCGCCAAAAAAAAGCTTTACAAGGCAAGGTCGGTATTCCCAGCACTCCTGGAGAACTGAGCTGGAGGTGGAGACACAAAGTCTCCAGGCCAGCCAGTCTGAGTACACAGCCAGCAGCAAATGAGAAAGATCCTGCCTCACACAAGGTTAAAGGTGAGGAACAATAGCTGGGCTTGTCCTCTGACCTTTACATATGTGCCATGGTACTTGAGCACATTCACACAAGAACACATGCATGTACACATACAAATACATATTAAGAAAAAGGAGGTTCAAGGGGTGGTGATGGCGCACGCCATTAATCCCAACACTCAGGAGGCAGAGGCAGGTGGATCTCTATGATTAGAGGTCAACCTGACGTGGCCCAGTGATTAAGAGCCCTTGTTGCTCTTGGAGAGCTCAGTTTGACTTCCAGCAACTTCGGGATGGCTCACAACCATGTGTAACTCCACTTTCAAGGGATATGACACCCTCTTCTTACTTCTGAGGGCACAGGCATGTATATGTGTTTTTTTTTTTTTTTCGAGACAGGGTTTCTCTGTGGTTTTGGAGCCTGTCCTGGAACTAGCTCTTGTAGACCAGGCTGGCCTCGAACTCACTGAGATCGCCTACCTCTGTCTCCCAAGCGCTGGGATTAAAGGCGTGTGCCACCACTGCCCGGCTAGGCAAGAATATGGTATACATACACACATGCAGATGAAATAAAAAATAAATCTTAAGAAAAAGAGAGAGGACTCAAATGAAAAATGGTGACGCTGCTATGAAATTTATGGAAATAAAATGATTCTGGACCAGGTAGTGGTGGCTCATGCCACCATGGGTGTGTGTGTGGGGGGGGGGTTGCTTGCATGCCACATACTCCATGTAAAATCTGGAGGATAACTTTTGGGAATCAGTTCTCTCCTTCCACTGTGGGATTCAGAGAGCAAACTCAGGTTGCCGGGTATTTGGGACAAACTCCTTTAACCACTGAGACATCAACTTTATCTTTGAGCCATCTTGCTGGCCTCTAAGCAACTTTGTTAAATGACAGTAAGTCTCATTATACAAAATTGGGTATTTTGGCACATACCTGCAAACCCCAGCACTCTGAGGTAGACACAAAAGAATAAAAGTTTATGGTTATTCTCAGCTATCTGTCAAGTTCAAAGCCAGGGTGGGACACATGAGACTCTGTCTCAGAACAAACAACAAAAATGCCACTAAAACCTGCCTGACTATAATATGTGATAAAAATATTAAGAGCAGCAGAGATGGACCAGCAGAGAAGAGCAGTGACTGCTCCTCCCGAGGACACAGCTCCAACTGCAGCACCCACAGGGCAGCTCACAACCTCTTCAACTCCAGGAAAACCAGAGCTCTCTTCTGGCCTCCTCAGGAACCAGGCACACATGTGGTGCACAGACATACTGGCAGGCAACACACCCACACACATAAATAATAAACATTTTTTAAAAGGTACAAATTAGCATGTTCAGTCTTAAATTACCAAAATGGTTATTGTTAGTGATGGTATTAGAATTTTGCTGGATTATAAATTTCTCACCTTTTCTATAGATTCTACATTTAATAATTAAAGAAAGCCTTTCATTCAAGCATCATTTCACACTGAAGTCAGCAAAGGGCTTCTTACCTAGGTTGGGACTGCTGAGCATGCTGACCAGTGCTGGCATAAGCTGAAACTCAAACGTCCTCTGGCCTCCACAGCCACTGCAGGCTGGGACCTCAGAGACTTCCAGTGTGGGACAGGCCAAAAAGAGAGGCTCTCCACTCCACGAATACCTATGGCAAGGAAGGGAAGTCACGCATCAGAGGCACACGCACCAGTGACCAGCATCTGGGAACACTGCACGGGAACAGAACTAACAGCAAGGAGAGCGCACAGCAGAGCACCCCAGCAACTGCGTGAAGCAATCAAGGGAACTGAAGTCTTGTTAACACTTGGCACAGTGCCACTGCAGGCCCCAAAGAGAGATGAGATAGGGGTCACTGGACCCTTTTATAAGTAAGTTACTCTTCCCAATCTGTTAAGTCTCCTTTTTCTGCTTTCCATATGTAATATTTTATCTTAGTTGAGATGGGGTCTCATTATGTAGACATTGGCCTGAGCTCACTCTGTAGACCAGACTGGACTGAACAGACCCACCTGCCTAACTATTATGTAGCTAAGCAACATGCATCCTGCTCCTGCAAGGTCTGGAAAAAGTCCTCCTTGCTTAGGGGACTGAGGGGCTCTCAGATGATCACTTCAGCCTCATGGATATCCACTCTAATCTGGGAGGGCCGTCTGTCCTCAAAGACTGCTCATCCAGGAGTCCAAGGTGACTACAGGTTTAGGACAATAACTTATCTTCAGCCTTGAGGGGTGAGACCAGTTGGACAAGACACTTACAGGCTAGCCTTTGAGCCCTGCCCTAATTACCCCATATTCTACCAGTCAGATTCTGGCTGAGCCATTCCCTGGTTCCATGTTGAGTACAAACTCAGAGGCAGGGTAGCTCTGCCTCACCTGGAAGACAGACAACACATTTCTGAAGGAAGAAAGGCTGCAGTTGGAGCTCACTGAAGCAGAGGGGAGCCACACATGAATACACACTCTAACTACATCAGCAAAACCAGGCCTGTGAAGTAATCCAACACACCTACCTAACCTAGGAGGACCTGAAATCAATCCTCACCTGAACCCACACAGAGGACACCTGGGTGACCATGACCTGTTCCATGACTTCTTGGTGTGTACTGCCAACTGCCCAGGGGCTCTGCTCAGCTCAGTCCCAGCTGCACATAATGACAGACCGGAACTGCCCTCTCTCCCTCCTGCAGACCCACCCAGTCCTGTTCCTCAGCTCTATGGCCTCCGTGGTCTGATTTCCAAAATATACAAAGAACTCAAGAAATTGGACACCAAAAGAACACATAATCCAATTTTTAAAAAAGACAAATGGAGTACAGACCTAAACAGAGAACACTCAACAGAGGAATCTAAAATGGCTGAAAGACACTTAAGGAAATGTTCAACATCCTTAGTCATCAGAGAAATGCAAATCACAACAACTCTGAGATTCCATCTTACACCTGTAAAAATGGCCAAGATCAAAAACACTGATGACAACTTATGCTCCAAACATGCACCATGAAAAGGAAACCAAAAACCTGGAAGTCTGGGGATACAGTTCAGTGGTAGAGTGCTTGCTTAACCTTTACAAGGCCCTGAATTTGATCCCCAGCCTTAGAACGAAAAGAAGGTGTAAGAGGTAAAAAACAAATACTTGAAAATGTAGTTCGTGTCTTTCAGTTACGGGAAGTGAGTATCAGTCACAACTGAAATGCCACCATACACCTTCTGCAACATCAAAAATTAAAACTGGGTATACCTGAGAGGTGTGAATAAGGCAATGGCACACTACGCCAATTTAAGTCTGTGTCTGCCTCGATACTTCTCAGCCTTTCACCCCTTGCCCCCTAAGAGCCACATGTGCCTTGGCAATGATTTCAGGACTATGGTGCAGATGTATTAACAAAAATAAATGATGTTTGTGCAAGCTTAAACATAAAACTAAAATAGCTAAGAGGAAGTGCAAACCAAAAAACAATTGTCATAGAGTCTGGAAAATACTTCTGAGCTATGCAAGAAAACAGATGCCACTAGACCACCCCAAGCCCCTCAATGATGTAACCCCACCTCAAGCACTGCTGCAATTGTGGTTTTGTCTTTAAAAATGCTGTACTTTGAGGTTGGACACCAAGAGATTTCAGAAGTGCGAGCATGCTCTTGGTCTTCCCATTAATAAAAGGACTCATAACTCTGTGTGTGTGTGTGTGTTACTAAACAGGGTCTCATGATGTAGCTCTTGCTATACTTGAACTCAGAGATTCACCTGCCCTGCCTTCTGAATACTGGGACTAATGGTGTGCACTAGGACTCATAAATTGTTAATTGGTTTAAGCAGTGTGATTGTCAATAACTATCTGGCATGGATCATTTCCGTATCAAGAGCTGGAGCACTGTGCAGAAACTAGGACTATGACACAGGGACATCCTGTGGGAAGGAACATAAAAGGGAAAGACTTTGGAAAATGGTTGCCTAATCATTTTAAAAAGTTGAAAGCTGGGGCTGGAAGATGGCTCAAGAGTTAAGAGCACTTGTTGCTCTTGCAGAGGACCCAGGTTCAATTATTAGCACCCACGTGATGGCTCAGAACCATTCCTAACTGCAGTTCCAGAAGATCCCATGTCTTCTTCTGGCTCCACAGGCACCCACATACACGTACAAGAGAAACAGTACGTGCTGTCTCCTGAGCTGGAGAGAGGGCTCAGTGGTTAATGGATAAAAACAGAAAATTCAGTAGTCCTGACCCAGCCACAGAAAAAGCAAGATAAGACTGCCTTGCTGAATAAGGTACCAAGCCACATGGCTAACATGGACAAGAATAATGGGCTAATATAAGTTATAAGAGTTAATAAGAAGTCTGAGCTAGGGGCTGGAGAGATGGCTCAGTGGTTAAGAGCATTGCCTGCTCTTCCAGAGGTCCTGAGTTCAATTCTCAGCAACCACATGGTGGCTCACAACCATCTGAAATGAGATCTGGTGCCCTCTTCTGGCCTGCAGGGATACACGCAGACAGAATATTGTATACATAATAAATAGATATTAAAAAAAAAAAAAAAAGTCTGAGCTACTAGGCCAATCAGTTTACAGTTACTGTAGACCTCTGCGTGATTTCTTTGGGACTTAACAACTGCGGGGACCAGGCAGGACAGAAACCCCGACAACAAATGGCACCCACGTAGACAACTGCATCCACATAAAGCCTGAGAGAGCTTGGGAAGTAATTCTAGACAAAAAAGAATAGAGTTAGGCAAAGCTTATTGACAGCAGTACTTTCTCAAGTGGGCTCTGTTCGCTAGAGGCAAACGAGCCTCACTTAAGAGAGGCTTCCTGACTCTGCTTTAGCTGTAAAACCTTGCAGCTCTTTTAAGAGGCCCCGACATGAAACACTTAGATGGTGTTGATGAAAAGCCGACCACATGTTTTTTGGTTTTCAGCCATAGCAGGAAAAAAGCCGTGCCATTTTAAAATGCCAGCTTTCTGGGCAATCCTGCCAATGCAAACTCTGACTCTTTCAGGCAGGAGGTCCTGCTACAGAGCTTTTTTTTAATTTATTTTTTATTATGTATACAATATTCTGTCTGCATGTATGCTTGTAGTCCAGAAGAGGGCACCAGACCTCATTACAGATGGCTGTGAGCCCCCATGTGGTTGTTGGGAATTGAACTCAGGACCTTTGTAAGAGCAGGCAATGCTCTTAACCGCTAAGCCATCTCTCCAGCCCATGCTACAGAGCTTTTGAGTGTGGTTTGTGAGCAGACTGTTGAAGCTTGCTTGCTGGTAGGGACCTTGAAATGCCATAGAGTTATGGCAATAAACATGGCTACAGCCAGTACCTCCACCATGAGGCTGAAATCTCAAAATGCTAAAAAAATGGCCACCAGAGCCATGGAGTTAACCTTAGCCATATCACTTAGCAAATTAAAGACTCATCCCAACATTTGGAAGACAGAGGCGGGCAGACCTCTGTGAATTCAAGGTGTGGTGGGTGGCACGCATCTTTAATCCCAGCACTTGGAGGCAGAGACAGGTGGATCTCTGGGAGTTCGAGGACAGCCTGGTCTACACAGTGAATTCCAGGACAAAGATACACAGAAACCCTGTCTCAAAAAGCCAAAAGTTAAAAATAAAAGAAATAGAGTTTAAAAATAAAGCCATGAGCCGGGCGGTGGTAGTGCACACCTTTAATCCCAGCACTCAGGAGGCAGAGGCAGGCGGATCTCTGGGAGTTCAAAGCCAGCCTGGTCTACAAGAGCTAATTCCAGGACAGGCACTAAAGCTACAAAGAAACCCTGTCTCGAAACCCCCCCCCCAAAAAAAAAGAAAAAAAAATAAAGCCACGTAAAGATGCAAAACACACAGAGAATCTGGACACTGTATGTTATTAAGTTCTTTTTAAATTGTTTAAATGCTGAGGAAGGAGTAACAGCTGCTAAAAGATATTTGTTTACAAGTGCTGCTAAATTAATCAAAGATAGTTATTTTAAAAATACCTTGACTTCAAAATTGAATTCAAAAGATATGTTACTTTGGAGAAGAGATTTTGCTTTTGTTTCCACAGAAAATGAGACGCTATGGATTCATTCTGAATTAAGAAAAATCAGGTTTAATCAAGGAAGACTACCTGAGAAATCTCTGGTAGGAACAGATGGCTCAGATGTCTGAGTTCTACATCCAGAACAGATTCAAGACTGCTGCCTGAGATGGTCAAGCCTCACAGGATACTCTAGTCAGGACTTGATCATTATTCTAAATTTTCTTTAGGCCCCCATAAGATTATCAGTGCCCCCAACCAGCAGGAAGTAGCCTGGAAAACGACACCCACATTCCCAAAAAATGGACTATGGATATTTTCCTTTGTTTAGAATGTTGGTTATAAGTTGTTATGGTTAATGGTGAGGAGAAAAGCTAAACAAAGAATACTAGATTTAGAGTTCTTGTTTTTTTTTTTTAATTTATTTATTATGAATACAATATTCTGTCTGTGTGTATGCTCGAAGGCCAGAAGAGGGCACCAGACCCAATTATAGATGGTTGTAAGCCACCATGTGGTTGCTGGGAATTGAACTCAGGACCTTTGGAAGAGCAGGCAATGCTCTTAAACTCTGAGCCATCTCTCCAGCCCCTAGAGTTCTTGTTTAAAAAAAAAAAAAGTGGGGGAAGTGCTGTGGGACATTGGTCTGTATCCTGTCAATTATATTTTAAATAAACACTGATTGGCCAGTACATAAGCAGGAAGTATAGGTGGGGCGACCAGATAGGAAGTAGAGGCAGGGTGACGACAACAGGAGAATTCTGGGAAGAGGAAAACTTGGTCTGCAGTTCTGACCCAGCCACAGAAGAAACAAGATGTGACTGCGTTGCTGAATAAGGTACCAAGCCACGTGGCTAACATAGAATAATGGGCTAATGTTAAGTCCTAATAGTTAATAACAAGTCTGAGCTAATGGGCCAATCAGTTAATAGTTAAAAAAAAAAAAAAAACAGAGAATTCAATTTCGGTTCCCAGCACCTACATGGAGCAGCTCACGATTATCTATCTCTTTTGTATTCTAAAGTCACAGGTACAAACACATATTAAAAATAAATAAAAATACATTTTAAAAATGAGTGTCTCACTGTTGCAGAGCTGGCCAGGCAACCTTTACCCTGAGGAATCCCTGAGACTGTGGGTGTGCGCTTGCCAGCAGGCTACCTCTACAGTAAAACAGAATAAAACATGTCATCTTTACCTCAGAATCTGTTCCTGGCAGGCTGCAATTCTCTTCATGAACTTGTAAAACGTTTGATCTCCATTTTTAATACTGGTCTTCTCATATTTTTCATCCCCATCACTAGAAGAACTAAAGAGAAAAGCAGAGACCATGTGAGACTATGAACGTCTGGAGAACCAGAGCATTCGCAAGAGGAAGCAAGGTGGTTTTCTTTCTCTAGTTTGTTAATTAGTGGGGGGGAGGGGCGCAAGTGCACATGGGCCACAGCACCTGCTGAGGTCAGAGTCTGTTCTTCCTCTTCAGTGCTCTGGTTCATGGCTTTTCTACATCTACTCTCTGGGGACCCACCAAAGCACGTGAAGAAAGAACAGAAACCCCACTACCCTTCCCAGCTCATAAATGAGAATCTGAAATGGTCTCAGAGTCTGAGGGAGCTCTGGAGTAAGAGCAGAGCCATGAAACAAGGAACACTGCTGCTAGCTCATCCTGCTGTTCTATAAAGACACATGAAGGCTGGGTGGTGGCACACATCTTTAATCCTAGCACTCAGGAGGCAGAGGCAGGTGGATCTCTGTGCCAGTCTGGTCTACAGAGTATGTTCTAGGACAGTCCAGGCTACAAAAAAAAAAAAAAAAAAAGACAGAAGGCCAGCAATGGCACTTGCTGTCAATTACAAAGACCAAGTTCAACTCTCAGAACCCATATGCTGAAAAAAAAGGAACAAGATGTCCTTGAATTTCACATGTGGCCATGGCAGCATATGCATGCCTGTTCATAAACATACAAGCACACACAAACTCCTTGTCAGGAATTTTAACAAGGGAAATCAAGAAAGAGGGCTGTGGATGTATCTCAGCTGGTAGAGCACTGTCCACCACCAGAGAAGCCTGGGTTCGGTTCCCAACTCTGCATAAAACCTGATCTCTACACTCAGAAAGAGGAGGCAGAAGGATCAGGAGTTCAAGGTCATCCTTGATGACACCAAGAGCTTTGAGGCCAACTTCATCTCTGCCTCAAAAATCAAGACAACAAGAAAATCAAAGCAGGCTGCAAGAGATGTTTCGGTGGGTTAAGGTGCAGGTTCTCCTCCCATGTCCCAGACCTCTATGTGTGCACGCCATGTGTGCATGTACACAAAGAAATGGACCAAGGGCACAGCTCAGTGGTAAGCTACTCATTTAACATTCTGCAGGCCCGAAGTTCAGTCCCAAATAAAACACACGAAAGAACAGAAAAGGAAGCCAGAGAAATGGGGAGTGGTCGTTCGTAAGCACCCACACTGCAAACCCATTTGCTCATCTGGGTTCAGGTCATGGGGGCACTTAGCTGCATGACTGCAAGTTAATGCGGGTTGGCTGCCACAGTCAGCCCTGGAGGCCTGAGCCTGCTTTCCTCTTCCAAAGACAGCAGAACAGGAGTCCAATCACATCCTTCTCTCTAGAACTCGCCACAGGGAGCAAGACAGTAGGGAACCAACCGTGCAGCTTCCTGCCTGAAGCGCTCAATCATGGTAGCCAGTTCTCACCACAGGGAAAGTAGGTGGTCCAGGTCCACACCTTCTCTCTGCTGGTAGTCCTGCAGAAGACTGTGGGCGTGGTCAAGACCTACAGAGTTGCCGTAGTCGTCCTCTTCGGCAACACAGATATAGTAGGGCTGGAACTGTGGCACGTCAGTATGGACGGGCGGCCCTTCCCCTGCGGGGGAAGGGTGAGTGACAGCCGGGGCAGTGTCCTGCAGGTGGAGAGCTTGGAGCTGCGCAGCAGTCCAGTCTGCAGCTCGGACTTCACTCAATTCAGTTCCCAAATCTGCAGTGGGTGCTGGTGGAGGCGTTTCCTCGCTGTCGCTTCCCCAGTCCTGCGAGCCTTCACACCAGTGCTCAGCTGCCAGGCCACTACCCTGCATCTAGAAAAATATCCAATGGAAACAGGTAACCACACTTAGATGGCTTCGTCTACACCTTCAGCCTCAGCACCAGTGAGCCTGCAGATCAGCCCCTTCCCTCATCTCACTACAACTCAACTTCCTGGATCCTAGCCACTCAAAAGCATCTTAAGACGGAGTATGGGTGGCATCCATTTAATCGAAGCATTCTTGAGGCAGAAGCTGATAGAGCTCTGTGAGTTCCAGGCCAGCCTGAGGCCTAGAGTGAGACCTTAACTCAAAACAAACACACAACAAACTGTGGCAGAAGAGATGGTTAGTGGTTAAGAGCATTTGCTGCTTTTCCAGAGGAGCCAGGTTTGGGTAGTTTGCAAGTATCTCTAACTCCAGTTCCAGGGGATAAAATGTCACCTTCAGACCTCCAAAGGCACCAGCTGTGCATGGGGTGCACACAGATTCATGCAGACAAACATTGATACACATAAAATTAAATAAACAAACCTAAAAACAAGCAAAAACAGAGGTGACTTAAATAAACAAACCTAAAAACAAGCAAAAACAGAGGTGACTTAAAACCTGTCTTTTCTGGGGCTGGAGAGATGGCTCAGAGGTTAAGAGCATTGCCCACTCTTCCAAAGGTCCTGAGTTCAATTCCCAGCAACCACATGGTGGCTCACAACCATCTGTAATGGGGTCTGGTGCCCTCTTCTGGACATCAGGCATACACACAGACAGAATATTGTATACATAATAAATAAATAATTTTTGTTTTTTAAAAAAACTGTCTTTTCTGGGCAATGTGGCACAATGATCAAGGTTTCTTCAATCTTCTGTTCCACGATATGGCTCTTCATGTATTCTAGGTACTAAGACAGGAAAAACCTATGTTTCAGGGATTTTGTCTATATTGTAATCTGATGTTCATTGGAATAGTGTGTTGGTGAAAGAGGTGGGGTTCACATTCAGAACTTACTGGAGGACTCGAGAGAGGCCCCTGGGAAGAGGAGGCGGGGCCAGAAGCTACCACTGGTGGGGTGTTTTTGTGGTCGTTTATGCCTATCTCAGGTTTTTGTCCTTAATATCTGTCCCTGAGTTGTATTTTATAATAAATGACAAAAGAGATCACTTTAAATGACATTTCCCAGACTCCTTAGCAGCTAAGATTTTGAATTAGATGTATGCAAGGGTTAGCTAGTTGGGTTCACTTAAGAGAGAGCCATAAACTTGAAGAGAGCAATGCCGTGACATGATTACATGGCTGAACATGGTGACTCATATCAGCACGGGGCAGGCTGAGGCAGGATGACGGCCGTGGGTGACACAGATTTCCAAGCTAGCCTGAGCTATGCATCCAGACCCTGTCTCCAAACACTAGAGAGAGACACAAAGAAATACGAGAAAGAGAGAGAGGGAATAACCAGGCTCTGTGACAGGGCAGCCACCATTAACACATATGACCTGATTGCTGGAGGCAGCCTAGCAGCTGGACGGACCGGTTCTGAGATGTACTTTCGGAAGTCATTGTGGGACTTCTCCCCAGGCTATCAATTTGGCTAGTAAAGACTTCCAAATGTCTTGGTTTGATAGAATCAAACTATTTTTCTACTTTACACACAACCAAGTATGTGCCACACACATGCATGAATGTGTATACTCCCCTACATTCGTTCAAATGAGAAAAATTAGTAAACTACAATCTCAAGTGCAAACTAAAAAAAGTCACAAGGACTGGAGAGATGGCTTGGCAGTTAAGAGCACTGGCTGCTCTGCCAGAGGGCCTGGGTTCAATTCCCAATGCCCACATCGGGCAGCACAGGAGATAACTGTCTCCACAGACATCAGCACTGGCATACACATAGCCACACACATATATGTGTGACTGAAAATAAAGTCTTTCTAAAAAAAAGCCACAAAAACCCGGGCGGTGGTGGCACTCGCCTTTAATCCCAGCACTTGGGAAGCAGAGGCAGGAGGATCTCTGTGAGTTTGAGGCCAACCTGGTCTCAAGAGCTAGTTCCAGGACAGGCTCCAAAGCTACAGAGAAACCATCTTGAAAAACAAAAATAAATAAATAAAAAAGCCACAAAACTATAAGGAAATAGGATTTAACACTTCTGAAAGCCTTAAAATTCATTCAGTTGCACTTTAAAAAACAGGTTTAAAAGTTTTGTCTTGGGGCCTGGAGCGACTGCTCAGCACATCCCTACATTATGTAGCTCTCAGACACCTGTGACTCCAGCTCTGTGGATCTGACACCTCTTCTGAATGTCACAGGTAGACACACACACACACACACACACACAAACACACACACACACACACACGATTGGCCTCAAACGCGAGAGATTCGCCTGCTTCTGCCTCCTAAGTGGTGATATTAAATGCACGCATCACCACCACTTCATTAAACAGAAAATTTATTTCTATTTTATGTGTATGCGTGTTTTCCCTTCGTGTGATTGTGCCCCTATTGCGTGCATGCGCGTGTCTCCCCGGTGCCACTGAGGCTAGGAGAAGACATTCCAATCCCTGAAACTGGAGTTACAGATGATTTTAAGCGGCCGTGTGAATGCTGAAAAATGATTCTGGGACCTCTGGAAGAGCAACAAGAGATCTGAGCTGCTCAACCAACTCTCCAGCCTCCAAAATAAACCTTTCTAAAAACTATCTTAAAGTAGGGGGTGGTGACGCATTAAAGATAACCACAGAAATACGGAGGGATTTAGGCCAACCGGTTTCTGGCAATTAAACGCCTCTTGGGCTACAGAGGAGGAGACTGTGTCTCAAAAACAGACCAACAAAGGTCTGTCTCAAATTACAGAAAAGCACAGGGTGCCGATCGAGAGGCTTTACCTGGGCGGTCCGAGTCTCTTTCTCTGGCACTTGCAGGCACTGGGAGCGGAACACCTTCCAGCTTAGGGGCAAGACAGAGGCCGTGAGGGCTCCACCCTCCAGTCCAGCCCCACCTAGGCTCGCCCGGCCCTCCCGGGCTCCAGGACCTCCCCGCCTACCTGCGCGTCCCTCCGTCGCCGCAGCCGGGGCGGGCACAGGCGAACACGTGCAGCAGCCGGTGGAACGGAGAGCCTTCCAGCGGACAGTACACCTGCACGACGAGCGCGAGCGGCTGCGCGCAGCGGCCACACTGCGGCCCCGGAGCGGTAACGGCAGGTAGGGCGTCCTGAGGACGGAACAGGTGCTCAGACCCTGGGACTCACTCCGCTCCCTTCCCGCGGGACACCTCCCCTCGGGCCCCGCCGAGGCCTCGCGGCCATGCTCACCGGGACGCCGCCCAGCTTGCTAGCCGTCCAGGCGGCGGGCCCCTTGGGGCAGCCCTGGACCGCCGTGTCTCGAAGTCCCAGCAGCACTGGCTTCCGGGCGGCCGCCATGACAACCGGGCACCCACGTGACAGCACGAGCTACGGTGGCGGAAAGGGCGCGCTCTCTGCGCACGCGCGCCGCCAGGACGTCCCCGCCCCAACCCGAATAAGGCCGGCCGATTGGCTAAAGGGCGGATTCCGTGGCTTGACAGACTGGTGCATGAATCCTAGGCTTGCAATCCCAGAGACAGCAGATTTTACTTCTGATATCTTGAGATAGGACCTACGAAAAAGTTTACCTGAAAATTAAACACTGGAGGCCGGATAATGGTATCGGCAGTCAACAAGAAACAGAACAAAAAGCCCTTAATTTTGAAAGACACACGGAAGACTGAGTTTAAGATTTCGAACATGCACACACGTGGATCTCAACTGCTCACAACTCCAGTTGGAGAGGATCTGTGGGTACCAGGAACACACATGGTGTACGTGAAAAAAATTCCAATGATGATTTTGTTATAGTTAAATGACACATCAATAAACACGTGAAAAAAATGCTTTGCCAGGTAAGGGTGGCTCACGCCTGCAATCCCAGCACTCTTGGGACTTCATAGTGAAACTCAGGCTAGCCTTGGTGATGAGACTACCAGGAAAAACAAACAACAAAAAAACTCCCCCAGGGCCTGTGGTGTATTTTAAGACTTATACAATGCTCGGGAAGTGATTTTGCACCTGAGCGGAGGACACACCGCCAGCCTCACAAGGGTAGGCCTCAGCCCATCCAGAGGCTGGAGATGAAATTAGCTCGCTCCTTTGGTCAGTCTTGGCTTAGCACTCTACTAACATGGCAGACTTAAAGGCTCTGTGAAGTCTGACTGACCGTGATGCTCACTTCAGGTTGAATCTGCAAATTTGGATGGCTTGGTCAGTGTTTTATCCCACCTAGCATTTCCCAAGGTGTAGTGTGTGTGTGTGTGTGTGTGTGTGTGTGTGTGTTTGTGTGTGTGTGCTGATTTTAGAGATATATAAATTTTTACATATAAAAATTTAAAATATAAAATAAATAATTATATAAATTTGTAATTTGTGTGAATGTGTAGCTATGTCCATCTGTGCGTGTGAGTGGAAATGCTTGAAGGCCTTAGATCCCCTGTGGTAGCTGGAACAGAGATTGGGTCCTCTGCAAGAGCAGTATGTGGTCTAAACCACTGAGCCATCTCTCAGATCTCAAGGGGTGTAATATTAAGCTTGTGGCATCACCCCAGCCCTCTAACACCCCTGTGTCCAAGAAGTCTGGGATGATTGGAAGCCCGTGACCTGGGAGTTGTCCAGGTCCGGACTCCAACTCCCAGTCTGCCAAGCGTTGACCTCCTCCCCCGGGGAGGGTCAGAACCACTCCCATGAGCTATTTAGGCTGGAGAAAGGAACGCATGGTTTTTGGGATTTGTGTGGGTCCTCCCCTCTGTCTCTCTCCCTCGCCATGCTCCCCGCCACCAGAGTGCCGCATTTATTAAACACGGGCATTTTAATTTGGTCTAATCTGGTCTAATTGGAGTTGTGTCGGCAGAGTGGCTTTTCTTAAACCAAACAAGGGGTATTTTTGAAATCCACGTAACAGAAAAATTCTGGTTCTGGCCAGCCCAATATTTGTTTTTTATTACTGTGAAAAACCAACTTAACGAAGTTGACTTTTCTTTGCCGTGGTTAATTTAGCATCGTGTAGAGCCACCTAAGGGAAGCCTCAGGCTAGGAATTGCGTACATCAGGGGGGTCGGTGCCACCTGTGATTGCCTTGGTTTATAACTGATGCAGGGAGCCCCAGCCCCTTGTGGGATGGAGCAGGCCAGCAAGCAGTTCTTCTATGGTTCCTACTAGGATTTCTCTCAATGATGTATCGTGACCCGAAAGGATAAGCCGAGTAGCACATCTGGGTTCCACTGCTTGGAGAACACATGGCAGTGTGAGACCGTCAAAGGTGGCAGCCAGGATGCAGAGAAAGAAGTCAGCAGCAAAATCTCTTCAAGTCACTGTTAGGGTCCAAGAAGAAAAAAACCCAAAGAAGACCAACAACCATGCATGCAATAACAAGAGTGTTCTACTGATTTTAATGTTGGGGTAGCAATAGAGCAACCCCAAAGAAGGTCACAAGCTTACGTGGAGTTAGGGGAATTCCAGAGAGGGGGGATTAATCTTGGGCTGATTGGTGGAGGAAAGATTAGAATGGGGGCTGATTGGTGGAAGGTCCTAGCGGTTAGGGACCTTCCAACAGCAGGGTAGGAGAAGCTATCTTTAGCCTGCAGAAGTCTGGGAGCATCTGCTGAGCTAGCAGAAGGGCTTTTGGGGCCTGCTGATCCAGCAGAAAGGCTTTGGGGGTGCTTGTAGATGATCACCTGTAAATTGTGGTTTTCATGAGACCTGCTTGATCAGCTCTGTCCCATTCTAGTGAAGTAAAACTAGGATCTGGTCTCTACCAGGGCTCTGGTCTGCTGCCTCCCATCTCCCACTCCAGCCTTTTCAATCTCTCCCCCTGGGAGCCAGTTTTCTCCAAGCCCCACCTTCTGCTTCTACCACTTTCCAATAGCGCCACCTGCTGGACAGGAAACCCTTACTACCCCAACCTTGGGAAAATTTGTGAAACCCAAACCATACAGTGAGTGTAGCCATCCTCCAGCAGTGACTGGCCTCCCTTGAACGTCCAGTACCCGTTTACCTCATCACAAGTCATGTCTGTATGTGCACATGATAGAATGGACCCAAGTCACCAAGCTACATCTGAGACCCTCCTAACTATCACCCTGTTTTTTGAGACAGGTTTGCACTGTTCAGCCAGACAAACCCAGAACTTGTTCCACAGCAAAGGCTAGCCTCAAATACGCTGCGGTACCATTTAATAATCTCATTACTGGGTGTGTGTCGGGTTGGGGATAGAGGCGCGTGCCAGCACATGTAGAGGTCAGAGGACAATTTCGGGGTCAGTTCTCTACTTCCACCTTTTATATGGGTTCCACGGATTGCATTCAGGTGACCAAACATGTGCCAAGTGTTCTTATTCACTGGCCCACAATTAACATGAAGTGATTTAACTGTTAGTCAATCCCACACCAAAGATTCGCCTGACAGCCAGGATGTGACAGTTATGCCCAGCTAAAACTGTCTTGAGGGCTTTAATCGATGCCTCCACAGTCAAGAGCACTCGTTGCTCTTGCAGAGTACCGAGTTCTGCTCTCAGCACTCCATCTGGGCGGCTCACAACGAATCAGCACATCTCCAGGGGATCTGATGCTCTGTCCTGGCCTCCATCAGCACCAGCACTCACTTTACACTCACACAGACATAAACACAGGTTTTTACAGGCTGGGTCTGATGAGGTGGCTCAGTGACTAAAGGAACTTAGTATCAAGCAGAATGACCCAAGTTCGATCCCCAGACAAGGTGAAAGTTGATCACTCCTAGAGAAGCTGTCATCTGACCTCCACACATGCGCATACATTCACACACTAAATAAATATATCATTTAAAGAGAGTCTATCCCAGGGGCTGGACAGATAGCTCAGAGGTTAAGGGCACTAACTGCTGTTCCAGAGTACCTGAGTTCAATTCCCAGCAAACACTTGGTGGCTCACAAGCACCTGTGATGAGATCCGGTGCCCTCTTCTGGGCTACAGGCATACATGCAGGCAGAACACTGCATACATAATAAATAAGTCTTAGAAAAACCCCTCCCATCCCTAAGTTTTGACACCAAAACAATAAGCAAACGAAAACCTAGTCAGTGGGCAGAAAGGTTTCCAGGCCTCCAATCCAAGGTGAGGAGCGGAAGGTGAAGATAAGACTGGAGGCCAAGTTGCCCTCCGACTGCACTGCAGATCCCTGTCCCCTCCACTGTGGATCTGTTCTCCACTGAGTCAAGAGCCAACGAGGGCACGAGCCAGGTCACCCACAGCCGACAGCCGACAGCCGACGCACCACCTCAGGAAACTTAAGAGGCTGAACGCACGCCTCCTCTACAGCATCTTTATTCTAGATAGGATGTGAACATGGGTGAGAACGATCAGATGCATCAAAGCACTTCAGCCTGCTTCAACAGGGTGGGTAGACGGCAACTCCACGCAAGTCTCCCCAAAGCCTTGAAGTCCAAGCCCACGAGTGGAGGTGTGCTCTGGGCAGGGAGGGGCAGGACCATGCAGTGCATACAGTGAAGAGGGACAAGGACTCGTCAACAGGGCTGTGGCTGACTTTATTCTATTTTGATGTCCCGCTGCTGCTTGATGAAGCTGATCAGCCCATTCGTGGAGGAATCGTGCGAGGTCACGGCAGAGCTGCCCTCCAGCTCAGGCTCGATTTTCTTGGCCAGCTGCTTCCCCAGCTCCACCCTGCCAGGGAGGGGCAGAAGAGGAAAATGAGCCAAGTTCCAGAGCCAACCCAAGGGCACAACAGACCCTTGCTCAGCAACTCACCCCCACTGGTCGAAGCTGTTGATGTCCCAGATGATGCCCTGAACGAAGATCTTGTGTTCATACATGGCTGCAGAGGAAGGAGCGGAGGGTGTCCATGAGGACCTGCCCTCCCTCTCTCCCTCCCTCTGCTACCCCATCCAACTGATGCCAAGCCTGTCAGTCCCATCCTCTCCCCACTCACCAATCAAGGCTCCCAGAATAAATGGTGTGAGCTTGGTGAACACAATCGAATTGGTTGGGCGATTTCCTTCAAACACCTGAAGGAAGTAAGACACATGCAGAGTGAGAGACTCTGGAGCACTCAGGCCTAAGTAGGATGTCTGTGCACACCCTCCAAAGGCTCAGGGAACTCCACCCAAGAGGGGCTGGGAAGACTCTGAGAGCCTTCCAGACACAACAGAGCTGTTAGAAACTCACGTGGACTGTGACAAGGTGCACAAGTCCAAACCTAGAGACAATCCCACACAGGAGAAGTAGACACAAAGTCACACCTCTAACCAGGAAGCTATCTGCAATGCTAGTGACTGGGAAGGGAACATCAGTTTTGTTCAACAGAGTGGCCCTGGGTCTATCAACCACATTCCAGGCCAGGATGCAGACCAAGGAACTGCTGGGTCAATACAAAGCAGGTTCCACGTCTTTTTGTTCATTTGCTTCTTATGCTTTGCTGTTGGCTTTTTATTTTTTTTTTCTTCTTTTAAGAAAAAGAATATGAAGTTGGATGGGCAGGTGGGTCTGGGAGGAATTGGGGGAGGAGAAAGAACATTGCTAACATATATTGTGTCTGGGGGAAGAAAAGGTTTTGAGAGAAAAGTCACACTGCCCCAAAGGTTGGGACATTTAAATCTGGGAGAACAGACCCTCCCCTATGTGGGACAACCAAATCATACCATGAGCCCCTACCCTGGCCCCCTCAATGCTACCCCTCGAGCTCCCGCATGTCACCCGAAAGCTGAAGTTCACAAACAAGGCTGACCTTGTGTGGCAAGAGCTTCTCCAGGTCCTCTGGGCTCTTTCCTGCAGCCTGGAGTTCCTTCTTAGCCTCTTCAAGTGACTTTCCCTTCATCAGGGCCTCCGTCTGGGCCAAGAAGTTGGCCAGGAGGATCTGCAGAGAGACATACAGTTACAGTCGCCAGTACGGCCAGAGTCCACTTCTCAGATGGGGGTAGTTCCAGCATGGTCCACTCACTCAAAGCGCAGTTGGGATGCGGAAGGAGGGCACATCTGATAACAAGAGGGCTGGGAACAATGCTAACTAGCCCTTTTCCTTTTAAGGGAGGTATTAATTGGGGACGGAACCCAAGTGCCAATCCTTTCTTGAAATCTGAGACGGGTTTTTGCTCAGTTACTCAGGCTGCCCTGAACTGGGATCCTCCTGTGGCATCTTGGCCTCCTGAATAGCTGTGATCACGGGTGTGTGCCACCTCGCCAAGCTTCCCAACACAATATTCAGTCCTTGCCAAGGTGTCATGCCAATGACTGTCTTTTACGACTTTAAGAGAGAGAGGTGCCAGC